GTTCAACCACCACTCAACGGCTCCCCCAGTTGCCTGTTTTTAAGCTGGTCACTTCCTCAAGCCTGACTTCTCATCTACAGCCTCTAAACCTTGGGCAGTGAGCAGCTGGTCTTCTCTCCTACCTCTCCCAGTGTCCTCCCTGGTTCTCTTAGACTTTCAGTTAAGTCTGAACATGTCCTGACTCAGAATCATGGACTTGCCACATTAGAAATGATGTTTGTTCTGCACTAACTCACAGAGGATTGCCTTCTGATGGAAGGGAGCCACTGGGAAGAGGGGCAGACGTTGCTTAGCAAGGAGATGCATGTTAAAATGATCTAGAGAAGTTTAAAAAACACCCACAGGAAGGGGCACTTCAGACCAATTAATCAGGACCTCTGGGAGTGGGACCAGTGCCACACACGGGATGCCAACCTGTGTGACCATTCTCAGAAAGGCATGGAACATATTTTTACTTAGAAAGTGCTAGATGATGGCTAGTCAGGAAACTTTGTCTCCTTACCTCTGTTCTCATGGCTTCCAAAGTTCTGACAATGTGGCCTACCACCAGAACACCAGGTGAGAATTGAGAGGTTTGGGATTTCTAATACCCTGTCTGGTATTTTCTTCGTAAGTGTCTTTGCTGTAGATATCTTTGCCACAAACATTTCTGCCAAATAACAAATAAGGCAATTTCACCTTAAAAGTTAAAGTAGCAGTAAATAAAATGTGTGTAGATCCATGGCAATACTGCACAAATAACTGATTTTATTCTGTGGGTTGTACCTTAGCACTTGTCTTCCAAGTCTTTTGTTCATAGCGTTTTATACATATATTTTTTCAATTTGTTGTCTTCTCATTTGTCATTATACTTTTTTCTTTATCACTAAAATGTCTTCCTTCCTTAAGAGAGGCATCAGTTTCCAAACACTAGGATGCATGTTTATGCATCCTGAGCTCTGTGTTGCATCATGAAATCTACAGTGTTTGTTCTTTGCATATTGTCACATGTCCATTGATAGACATTCCAAAATTCTATGGGGAATGTGGGTTCAACCCTGTACCTTCAAGATCCTTGGCCTCTTTCTCCTCTAGTGTAGTGTGTTTCAAAATAAACCAACTCGATTTCTTAATCTGAAAAATGGGGGAGGAAATATCCTCACCACAAGAGCTGCAAGAACAAAGCATGATAACAGATATACACATGGAAGGAGCGACAGAGCCTGGCCCTGATGGAAGCCTGGCTGTGCTAGAAGCCCAGGACACGCCCTCTTCTGAACAGCACTCGGTGCAGACATCTCAGCGCAGCCAAGTGGTGAGCACATGGCCCAGGACTTATGTGCTTCCCAAACTGCTGGACACACTCTGCGAACTGTGAAATCAAGTTATTGGGATGTGACCAGCCTAAAAAAAAACATTAAAGTACTTATCCAGTTAAGGGGAAGAATTGTTCTCAGGAACTTTTGATTTACAGTGTGTGCGTGTGTGTGTGTGTGTGTGTGTGTGTGTGTGTGTGTGTGTGTTGGGAGGAAGGTGAGGAAGGTAATGGACTGAGATCCGAAAACCCTTTATTACTGTGGAGAATGGAAAATAACCTTTGGAAGCCCCTGGAATTGATACGAAATAAACTTTTTACGGGGCTGGCAGAGGAGCAACACAGAGAAGAGACTGATGAAGGGCTACCGGGAATGTAGGCAGAGAACTGGGAGAGGGGCTCCTGTGGGTGCAGGAGGGCAAGGGCTGCAGGGCGGGCACCAGGCGGGCCTGGACCATGTACCCTAAGGTAGCAAGGGGCAGGGGCGACCGGGGCCAGGGACCAGCGACCAGGCCAACCCACGGAGCCTCACCACTGACCCTGAGAGCGCAGACTACATGCCCCATCCGCTCTCGCTAGCCCAACTCGGGGTGGGTGGGGGGGCGCAGGCCCGCCCCGCAGGCCCCGCCCCCTCAACGGGGCCCTCCCACACCGGGCCCCTGGGTTGATGGGCCTGCTGTCCTTACAACCACTCCCCGGCTACCTGAAGTCTCTTTCAGGGAGTCGGTTTGGCAATATGGTGGGAAAAGCTGCCCCAGGGCTGCGTCTCACGGGTCTCCTGGCCAGGAAGCCCTTGCCTGTGGCATGCAGGTGGCCTCCTGGGTTTCAGGCAGGTGTGGAGGGCAGGTGTTGGTGTGACACAAGACCTTATCACTTTGGAGAGCTCTTTTGGAAAGATGCAGTGTACCTTAGCATATCAAAGGCTCCTGTGTTTACTTGAAAATACAACTTTTTAACAGAAAACCTCATTCCTCTTTTTCATGTGATAGCAATTGACATCTCTGGCAAGCAAATTAATGACCCCCCTAAGATGTCCCTATCTGAACCCTGGAACCTGTGAATATGTTAGTTTATACAGCAAAGAGGAAATTATCTAGGTGGGCCCAATGGAATCACAAAGGTCCTCAAATGTGTTAGAAGGAGTCAGATGGTCAGAGTCAGAGAAGGAGATGTGAGGATGGAAGCAAGGTCAGAAAGAGAGATCTGCAGATTCAATGCTGCTGGCTTTGAAGATGCAGAAATGGAGAAATGGGCCTCAAAGCCAGAAAAGGCAAGGAAATGGCCCTCTGGAGCCTCCAGAAGGGAATACAGCCCTGCTAACACCTTGATTTAGCCTAGTGAGATCAATGTCACACTCCTGACCTACAGAACTATAAGATAATTTGTGTTGTTTTTAACCACTAAGTTTGTGGTAATTTGTTACAGCAGCAACAAGAAACTAAAGCAACATCCTACATGAGGAAAACACTGGTCTACAGCATACTCCTGATCTACCTAATGTCTCAGTCAAAAAGGCAAACAGACGCCAGGCCTGTGTGCTTCTGAATAAAGTCATATGGTAATTCTATTTTTAGGTTTTTTTGTTTTTTTGTGTGTGTGTGGTACGCGGGCCTCTCACCGTTGCGACCTCTCCCGCTGTGGAGCACAGGCTCCGGACGCACAGGCCCAGCGGCCATGGCTCACAGGCCCAGCTGTTCCGCGGCATGTGGGATCCTCCCGGACTGGGACACGAACCCGTGTCCCCTGCATCGGCAGGCGGACTCTCAACCACTGCGCCACCAGGGAAACCCTGCACACACTTTTGTGTGTGTGTTTTTAAGTATTTGTATAGTTTTACCAGGTACCATTTCTTTACATGATCACGTGCTCTTTTTCCTGTAAAACACAAACAACTAAGGAGAGAAAAGAAGTGCAGAACACAGTGGAGGTATGTGGATCAAGAGTGGCATACATGAAAAGGTTTGGGGGAGTCCTCATTCAGCTGTGGGGGCCACATGAGCCAACATGGTGATCCATCTGTTATATTTCCACTGGGAGCTTCCCTTACTAAGCCATGTTGTGCTCCTTTGTTGGAGGACATGATATTCATGGTTCTGCAAAGGCACTGTGACCCACATAAGCATGGTGGTAACTGATGAAACTGCTCCCCTGGGCAGCCCACCTGGGCAAGAGAGCAGATGTGAGAATCCAGGTGTCATGCTCTCCCATGGACACTCCCTTACAGACTGACAGTATGTCGTCTAGGCCTCCAACTTCTTACCTCAACTTGAGGAACACTGGACACTCAACCTCAAGCTAAGATGGAAAATAGGACCAGGTACAAAGCCCAATATGAAAAGTTTCTGGTAGTGAGAGTTTTTCAGCACTGGCCAAAACCACAAAAGGAAGTGGTAAAAATCCACTTCCACAGATCTCAGTAGCAATAAGATAGAGCTTTGCCTGCTGGGACTCTCAGACCTGTGTGTGAGGTGCATCATCCCCACAGACACCCTCTACTGTGTTGTGGAACCAGCTGCTGCAGCTGTTGTGGACAGAAGGTCAGGAGCATGTGCTCACTATTTCTACAATGTTAGCTAGCTTTACCATATCCCCGTCTTCCTCATCCTATGATGTTTTTTAACATCACTGAAAAACAAACAAAAAAAAAGGTTGTCAATGAAACAGTGTGTGCTAATGCAAACAAACAAAAAAGGTAAAAGTAATAAGTAAAATCTACTGAATGACATTTGATTAGAGCAGAGTCCTTTTATAATGATGTGTTCTCCAGGCTAACATGTCCCTGGCTTTCCCTATATCCACCAACTTTATAGAGGAAAAAAGAGGGACCAGATAATGTAGAAATATGACAGGACTAGTATCCCCACTTTTAGTAGTAGTCTCTTACTTTTTCTAGGTATAAGGCAGATGTGCACAGGATGCTGGGGCAGCTGCAGCCAAATTTGGATGCTGAGACTGTCACCTAGCATCTGTGCTATTTGCTTCTAAGAGTTCCCCCAGAGTTGGTGTTTTGATCCAGGCGGTTAATTCCAAAGAATATTTATCTTAACACTTAATTTGGGGTAAGAGTCTTTATAAGGAAAGAAACAATCTTTTTCATTCTTGTGAATAAATTCTTGCTAGCCTGTCATCTCTAACCCCTTGGTTTTCTGGCTGGTGTCTGCTGCTTAGAGCCCTGCCAGAGCTGGAGGCCCAGCACTTGCTCAGTGCAGCTCCTGGCCATTTGTAGCCTTGCTGACCCAGCACAGGGCTCAGAGGCAAAGCCACAAAGAGGTTGTGTCCCCGAAGTACCTCTGCTGATTAGAGGCCTATCTAAATTTAGTTTATTAAACAGAACCAATGTTCCAAGCAAAAATGTAGTTCCTCTACTCTCCTGTGTTCCCTGGCCGGTAATGTGTGTGATCCTGGAGGTGATGAGTTGATTACGGAGACTTTGATGAAAAGTATGTTATGTTAATAGTTTGGTATTAATTTTTTTATTAATTTATTTATTTTTGGCTGTATTGGGTCTTCGTTGCTGCTCGCAGGCTTTCTCTAGTTGCGGCAAGCGGGGGCTACTCTTCATTGCGGCGCGCAGGCTGCTTACTGCTGCGGCTTCTCTTGTTGTGGAACATGGGCTCCGGACACGTGGTCTTCAGTAGTTGTGGCGTATGGGCTCAGTAGTTGTGGCTCGTGGGCTCTAGAGCATAGGCTCAGCAGTTGCGGTGTGCAGGCTTAGTTGCTCCGCAGCATGTGGGATCTTCCCGGACAAGGACTCGAACCTGTGTCCCCAGCATTGGCAGGCGGATTCTTAACCATTGTGCCACCAGGGAAGTCCCAGTATTAATTTTTATATGCATTAAGAAACTATAACTAGCCCAGCAATCCCACTACTGGGCATATACCCAGAGAAAACCATAATTCAAAAAGACACATGCACCCCAATGTTCACTGCAGAACTATTTACAATAGCCAGGACATGGAAGCAACCTAAATGCCCATCAACAGATGAATGGATAAAGAAGATGTGGCACATATATACAATGGAATATTACTCGACCATAAAAAGGAACGAAATTGGGTCATTTGTAGAGACGTGGATGGACCTAGAGACTGTCATACAGAGTGAAGTAAGTCAGAAAGAGAAAAACAAATATCGTATATTAATGCATATATGTGGAATCTAGAAAAATGGTACAGATGAACTGGTTTTCAGGGCAGAAATAGAGACACAGATGTAGAGAACAAACGTATGGACACCAAGGGGGGAAAGTGGCGGTGGGGTGGAGGTGGTGTGATGAATTGGGAGATTGGGATTGACACATATACACTAATATGTATAAAATTGATAACTAATAAGAACCTGCTGTATAAAAAAATAAAATAAAATTTAAATATAAGAAAAAGAAAATATAACTAGCAAAATATTACTATTATAGAAAGAATGATTAGATTCAAAGTCAAATCAGAGAAAACTGTTAAGAAAAATAGAATTAAAACATAGATAGCCATGACAAACACGACGAGTTATAGGCCAGTGACTAATGCTGGGAAATGCAGGGTGTGTGTATGTGTGTGGCAGGGCGTGGTCTTTTGCAAGTCTCGCACAGGCCAGTCCATCAGATAGCACATAGCGAGCTAGCTCTTTCACTCCAAGGCCCCTGCTTCCACCCTCTCCAGCTCCCTACACTTTATCTCTTGATTTGTTTAGTTTAGGGTTTTTCATTAGAAGAATCTCCTGCAGTTTTACCTCTCTTACACACCACTATTTTCAGTTCCCTTCCAGGAAGAGGCCACTTAAATTAGGCTATTTGCATGCATATTTTTCCATGGTTGTTGTTATCATGCAGATAGTTTGCATACGGCTTTATTTCGTTCAATATTATATCAGAAGCATTCTCCATGTTGCATATAGTTTTCATTTTTAAGGGTTAGTTGTTTCCATTTTTTTAAACTAAATATTATTGGACACATAGCTCTTGCCTTCTACTGAAATTTTAGGGGTTTGGGGGAATAAATTCAGGTAAGTGGCAAAAATGGGTCAGAGCATATAAATTTTCATCAAATCTTAATTGTCCACACCCACTAACCTTGAGGCTTCTTAGCCCATAAAAATGATGATCACTTTGTTCTTATATGCAAAAAAAGTTTTCAAAAAAAGGGATAAAAAAACACTCAGCGGAGGGGGGACCTTGAAGATGGCGGAAGAGTAAGATGCGGAGATCGCCTTCCTCCCCACAGATACACCAGAAATACATCTACACGTGGAACAACTCCTACAGAACACCTACTGAAGGCTGGCAGAAGACCTCAGACCTCCCCAAAGGCAAGAAACTCCCCACATACCTGGGTAGGGCAAAAGAAAAAAAGAAAAAACAGAGACAAAATAATAAGGACGGCACCTGCACCAATGGGAGGGAGCTGTGAAGGAGGAACGGTTTCCACACACTAGAAGCCCCTTCGCGGGCGGAGACTGCGGGAGGCGGAGTGGGGAGCTTCGGGACCGCGGAGGAGTGCACAGCGACGGGTGCGGAGGGCAAAGCGAGGAGATTCCCGCACAGAGGATCGGTGCCGACCGGCACTCACCAGCCCGAGAGGCTTGTCTGCTCACCAGCCGGGGCGGGCGGGGCTGCGAGCTGAGGCTCGGGTTTCGGTTTCGGACGGAGCGCAGGGAGAGGACTGGGGTTGGCGGCTTGAACATAGCCTGAAGGGGTTAATGCACCAAGGCTAGCCGGGAGGGAGTCCGGGCAAAAGTCTGCACCTGCCGAAGAGGCAAGAGACTTTTTCTTCCCTCTTTGTTTCCTGGTGCGCGAGGAGAGGGGTTTAAGAGCACTGCTTAAAGGAACTCCAGAGACGGGCGCGAGCCGCGGCTAAAAGCGCGAACCCCAGAGACGGGCGCGAGCCGTGGCTAAAAGCGCGAACCCCAGAGACGGGCGCGAGCCGCGGCTAAAAGCGCGAACCCCAGAGACGGGCGCGAGCCGCGACTAAAAGCGCGGACCCCAGAGACGGGCGGGAGACGCTAAGGCTGCTGCTGCCGCCACCAAGGGGCCTGTGTGCGAGCACAGGTCACTCTCCACACCACTCTTCCGCGGAGCCTGTGCAGCCCGCCACTGCCAGGTTCCCGGGATCCAGGGACAACTTCCCCGGGAGAACGCACAGCGGGCCTCAGGCTGGAGCAACGTCACGCCGGCCTCTGCCGCCGCAGGCCCACCCCGCACGCAGTGCCCCTCCCCCCCACCCACCCCCGGCCTGAGTGAGCCGGAGCCCCCGAATCAGCGGCTCCTTTAACCCCGTCCTGTCTGAGCAAAAAACAGACGCCCTCCAGCGACCTACACGCAGAGGCAGGGCCAAATCCAAAGCTGAGCTCCTGTGAGCTGTGAGAACAAAGAAGAGAAAGGAAAATCTCTCCCAGCAGCCTCAGAAGCAGCGGATTAAAGCTCCACAATCAACTTGATATACCCTGCATCTGTGGAATACCTGAATAGACAAGGAATGATCCCAAATTGAAGAGGTGGACTTTAGGAGCGAGATCTATGATTTTTTTCCCTTTTCCTCTTTTTGTGAATGTGTACGTGTATGCTTCTGTGTGATATCTTGTCTGTATAGTCTTGCTTCCACCATTTGTCCTAGGGCTCTATCCGTCCATGTTTTTATTTTTTTTAAATTTTTTTTCTTAATAATTAATTTTAATTGTAATAACTTTATTATACTTTACCTTCGTTCTTTCTTTCTTTCTTTCCTTCCTTCCTTCCCTCCTTTAGACAACGAATCACCCCAAATTGAGGAGGTGGTCTCTGAGAGCAAGATTTATGATTTTTCCCCCTTTACCTCTTTTTGTGAGGGTGTATGTGTATGCTTCTGTGTAAGATTTTCTCTGTAGAGCTTTGCTTCCAACATTTGTCCTAAGGTTCTATCCGTCCCTTTTTTTTTTTTCTAAATATTTTTTAATTCAATAACTATATTATACTTTATTTTATTTTTACTGTATCTTCTTTCTTTCTGTCTTTTTTCCTTCTTTCCCTCCCTCCTTCCTTCCTTCCTCCCTCCCTCCCTCCTTTCTTTCCTTCTTTGCTTCTTTCTTCCTTCCTTCCTTTCCTCCTTTCCTTCTTTCTTTCCTCATACTTCTACTAATTCTCTCTACTTTTTCTCCCTTTTATTCTGAGCCGTGTGGATGAAAGGCTCTTGGTGCTCCAGCCAGGAGTCAGGGCTCTGCCTCTGAGGTAGGAGAGGCAACTTCAGGACACTGGTCAACAAGAGACCTCCCAGCTCCACATAATATTAAACGGCGGAAATCTCCCAGAGACCTCCATCTTAACACCAGCACCCAGCTTCACTCAACGACCAGCAAGCCACAGTGCTGGACAACCTATGCCAAACAACTAGCAAAACGGGAACACAACCCCATCCATTAGCAGAGAGGCTGCCTAAAATCATAATAAGGCCACAGACACCCCAAAACACACCACCAGACGTGAACCTGCCCACTAGAGAGACGAGATCCAGCCTCATCCACCACAACACAGGCACTAGTCCCCTCCACCAGGAAGCCTACACAACCCACTGAAACAACCTTAGCCACTGGAGACAGACATCAAAAACAACGGGAACTACGAACCTGCAGCCGGCAAAAAGGAGACCCCAAACACAGTAAGATAAGCAAAATGAGAAGACAGAAAAACACACAGCAGATGAAGGAGCAAGATAAAAATGCACCAGACCTAACAAATGAAGAGGAAATAGGCAGTCTACCTGAAAAAGAATTCAGAATAATGATAGTAAGGATGATCCGAAATCTTGGAAATAGAATGGACAAAATGCAAGAATCAGTTAACAAGGTCCTAGAAGAAATAAAGATGAAACAAGCAACGATGAACAATGTAATAAATGAAATTAAAAGTACTCTAGATGGGATCAATAGCAGAATAACTGAGGCAGAAGAACGGATAAGTGACCTGGAAGATAAAATAGTGGAAATAACTACTGCAGAGCAGAATAAAGAAAAAAGAATGAAAAGAACTGAGGACAGTCTCAGAGACCTCTGGGACAACATTAAACGCACCAACATTCGAATTATAGGGGTTCCAGAAGAAGAAGAGAAAAAGAAAGGGACTGAGAAAATATTTGAAGAGATTATAGTTGAAAACTTCCCTAATATGGGAAAGGAAATAGTTAATCAAGTCCAGGAAGCACAGAGAGTCCCATACAGGATAAATACAAGGAGAAATACGCAAAGACACATATTAATCAAACTGTCAAAAATTAAATACAAAGAAAGCATATTAAAAGCAGCAAGGGAAAAACAACAAATAACACACAAGGGAATCCCCATAAGGTTAACAGCTGATCTCTCAGCAGAAACCCTACAAGCCAGAAGGGAGTGGCAGGACATACTGAAAGTGATGAAGGAGAAAAACCTGCAACCAAGACTACTCTACCCAGCAAGGATCTCATTCAGATTTGATGGAGAAATTAAAACCTTTACAGACAAGCAAAAGCTGAGAGAGTTCAGCACCACCAAACCAGCTTTACAGCAAATGCTAAAGGATCCTCTCTAGGCCTGAAACACAAGAGAAGGAAAAGACCTATAATAACAAACCCAAAACAATTAAGAAAATGGGAATAGGAACATACATATCAATAATTACCTTAAACATGAATGGATTAAATGCTCCCACCAAAAGACACAGACTGCCTGAATGGATACAAAAACAAGACCCATATATATGCTGTCTACAAGAGACCCACTTCAGACCTAGAGACACATACAGACTGAAAGTAAAGG